GCTCCTTTTGTTCAGGTTTCATGATCGGTGATGGAATTCCTCGACTTTTCTGCCAACCCATTGCATGCAGCTCAGTTCTAATTGTCTCCTTACAGACAGCTACAGTTCCTCTATCAATCATGTCCAGCCTTAAGTTTTTCAAACTCCTTCGTTTGTTTTTAGAAACAAGAATACCAAGCCGCCTCCTGTCACCGACAGTCAATTTCTGGGCCTACCTGCGCTTCCCTGGTGCTCAATACCATATCCATTTGCAATATTTTTCAAAACACGATAAACAGTGGACAAAGGGATGCCTGTTCTACTTGAAATCACTTTAGCTGATCTGATGTCCTTGTTATAATACTCTAAAATCAACTTCCTCTTCTCTACGTCGTCCATACTGAAGATATCTGAAAATGTCGTCTGCTAGCAAGTAAACAAAGGGGGATAACTCTTCACAAACTAATGAAAAAGGATTAACGGAGTTTTCTCTCTTGAATGAAACCAAGCACTTGATAGCTGGCCAAGGTTGTTTATACTAGAAATCAAATTAAACATATTCTTAAAATTCTCAATCATTTCTGGTCATACTATATAACCTGTGATGTTGTTGCTCAACGTAGATATAAGCACAGCCCAGTGACTAAAAATACGAAACGAAAAGTAATCACTCCTGCTTTGTCTGTTACTTCATTCACTTAAAGGTTCATACATTCCACTGTAATGTTTATAGCTATACAGGTTCATATTAAATACTTTGTGTTGATCTGTAGCGCGTGGTTATGGCTGGATGTATTGCACGTATATTTCTGTTTCAAATTTTATGAAAAGTTTTCAACTTAAGTATCACTGTTTGTGCTTAATAGCGTAGGTTTTACAAACCGCTTGTTCTGCTCCTGTCGTAGGCGTATATCCATCAGATCCCCGACATTTTCTCTGGAAAAACCTGGAGAAGCTAGGAGATTTTGTTGTTGTTATTTTGTGTCTTGTTTAACGCACCATCTATATGGTGGCGGTCTGTAAATAATCGAATCTGGACCAGTCAATCCACTGATCAACAGCATGAGCATCGATCTGCGCAATTGGGAACCGATGACATGATGACGAGGCTAGGAGAAGCAGTCGGTGTGTGTGTGTGTGTGTGTGTGTGTGTTTGTTTGTTTGTTTGAGTGTGTGCGCGCACACACACACACACACATAAGCAATACTAAATATATGAAAATCCCTCCGCATATGATTACTAAATACACAAGCAAATATTCCTATACCGCGACGTAAACATTTCTCCTACCGAGTGCTTATTCATTTGGATTTAAAATATTCTCACTGAGGTGTGAAACATTTTCAATATTGATTTTACAATTTAGTATTTACACATGTAGTTCGCTTTTCCTTATTCCCTTCTGACTTTTTCGACGTTTCGCTGCATACCATTTATGGTTGGGTTTGGGCAATATTCAGGGTTTTCCTGCTTTTCTGGTTTTCATTTTTGTGTTTCGGTTAATGAAACGATTAGGAATGGCTGACATGAAAACGCGTGATAGTCTAAAATGTCTGCACTTCCCTTGAAGGAGAAAACAGAGTGACACAACTGGTATCTTCCTCTAAAGCTGTTATCTACGAATGTATGAAATCTCATTATGATCTCTCTTTACTGGAACGTAAATTAGGATCAAAGCACTGTAATATTTTAATCAAATTTAAAACCGCCAACCATAAATTACCTATTGAAACAGGTCGCTGGGAAAATATTCCCCTCAAATAAACGATTCTGTCCGTCATGTCCCTCCCAACTCGGAGATGAGTTTCATTATTTGCTTCAATGTAATAAATTTACTGCTTCCAGAAATATGTATTTAAAGAATTATTATGTAAACAACCCTAACTATTATAAAATGTCATCCCTATTTGAAACTCATAATATGAAGCAATTAAGAAATCTATGTAAATTTATTTCCATTATAATGTCTGTCATCATGACATGATTAGTTTACCTGTACATAATTGCTGGATTTGTTTCAAGCCATAGCCTAAAAGTGATATATTTTTGAAAAATACCCTAATGATGCTTTGCATGTATTTGTAAACTTATGGTAATAAAAAGGATGATTGATTGATATTCTACCACTTTAGGAAGAATGGGTATAACTTCGCCCTGACCAACTATGAGAACTGTAGGTAACAGATATATAATGTCGTCAGAAGTAAATAGTTCCAAGGAACTATGACATCAGGTTTGTGATTAACGAGAATACAAATGAGTCAGAGTTTTTTGGACCGAAAATAATTTCGACGAGGATGGGATTCGAACCCACGCGGGGAGACCCCAATGGATTAGCAGTCCATCGCCTTAACCACTCGGCCACCTCGTCCTTACATTCAGAGAGTGTTCAGTCATTATAACTGTAAGCAAGTACACAGCTGTAAATGCTATCTTGATCAATGTCCATTCACGTGACACGTGTAGCCGATGTGTACACGTGTATATGAGCTACAGCATGTACATATAAATAGAGACAGCTGGGTCGGCTTGCACTGCACCGGAACGGCTTCTGTGTTAGGCAGCATGCCGATTCTACCAGTTATACTTACTAATTAAAAGATTTGTATACTGAATGGAGCGATCGATTTGAGACATCATTATATCTATTGACAAAGAAAACCCCCGCCGTGGAACACCACACCCAGCAATATCCCAACGAGGGTCTCTGTATAATCGAGCCTGGTCTAGACAATCCGGTGACTGATGTCATGAACACAGCTCCACGCAACCTCGGTTTTCCGTACCAAGCAGAAAACCCACCCACCAAGTATGACCATCCCATTCAGTATAGTTTGTTGGGGAATTACAGTATAAGTATAATGTGAATGACACCCCACAACAAAAAGACCCACCCCCAAAACATATTATGTACAAATAAGTGACCCCCCTGCATGTCATGTACAAAATCAATGGACCCCCACACACACACACGCCTTCCCATAATTTTTCTAAGCATAATTTAAACATATTGTTATGTACAAAATTGCTGACACCCCCTAGTACGTGTGTACAAAATAGATGACCCCCTAGCTCGCCAGAACAAAATGGGTGACCCCCTTAAATCATCATCACACCCCCACCCCACCCCACCCCAGAGTGAATAAACTTCTAATCTTTGTGAGAAACTTTCAAAATACATTCACGAGGAATATATATCACCCGCTATTAGTTTATTATCTATAGATAAATGTTGTTGTTTTTTCCTGCAGTCAAATGGCGACAACAGACCCGTTTTCTATTTCTCAAACGACGTCAGTGTGTGATGTCATAAACATACAGTATAGTATGTCGTCATCTTTGGTTATTTACCACAAAGCTTTCTTATGACGTTGGAACACAAGAAACGAAAACAATGGAACAAGAATTAATCAATTCAGATATGGAGTGAAGGTTTTATTATATTCTTAAGGGTGGAATACTGCAAATATTGGTGAAAATAAAAAGGGTATTTTCACTGAGTTGAATAACATGTTATTTCGCTGAGTAGAATATCACTTTTGCCTGGAACTACTTTCTGCTCAAGGGCTAGACTGTAGTTGGTTTGCGTAATAAAATGCAGACTTACTCGATGTCTCGATCATTTATAAACAATGATCAAAATATAATAAATAGAATATTTTGTTATGTTGTCAAATAACATGTATATTTCATCGAGTGGTCTAACAAAGTTGATATGTTCACGAGTGGCGCGCACTCTATATCTTACCCAGTGAGAAATACTGAAAACAAAAATCTCTCTTCTTTTTCTTTCCTATGTGGGTGATCCTGTAAAGCGCAGCGAAAGAGTTACACGAATATACACATGCACACACTAATTTTGTCGAGCACCATGTAACATGCGGGGCGGTGGGGTAGCCTAGTGGTTAAAGCGTTTGCTCGTAATGCCGAAGACCCTGGTTCGATTCCCCACATTGGCACAATGTGTGAAGTCCATTTCTGGTGTTCCCCGCCGTGATGTTGCTGGAATATTGCTAAAGGCGGCGTAAAGCCATACTCACTCACTCATGCAATATGCCGATCTTAACGTTTGCACGGTCATTTGAAATAATGAATATATTATGCGATTAGTCAGGCCAGTGATCGCCTTTACTCATCCTGAAACAGTGTATTTCAAGAAGATTCAGTGTACTTTCATAATTTATTTAAACCTGTTGATTTAATTTGATATCTTGCCCTTTAAATTATCTTTGTATCATGGGTTTTTGGACGCTAAAGAACGTCCCTTGTTCTCTCGCTGATCGGAAGAAAACTGTAAAAAGAAATTATGTAATGAACAAGCCATTGTATTTATAAGGTCTTTGTGACGTAATACAGCTCGTTATAGCGAATGGCGTAAACGTATATAATCCGATGATAATTAATGCTATTTACATATATTCTTGATGGAGTCAGTTTATAAGTTCTTGTTGTTATGAAAAAACAAACCCTTACTTTATATTAAGTGTCACAACTGACGATATTACTTTCCAGGAAACAATAGATATAAATGTATTACATTTATTACAGTTGATGCCACACCCCTTTTGCCGAGGGTAATTTGTTTTGGGAAAGTTCGGCAAGTAAATTCACATCATACTACTTTCCCAAAACCACATCTTAAATAGTAATGCATACGGTAATATTTGTCAAGCTTTGGAGAACTGTATATAAACACATCGATTACATATATGTGTTGTTTTTAAAATGTCAAAAGTAAACAGCAGTGGTATCGTTTCAATGCACGTCATTTAAATAAAGCCATCGATCGTTACAAATTATAGCTTTTGAATGCCCACGGTTAATTCATTCTTAGTATAAAATGTTTAACTATGTTTCATAAGGTCTTTAGACTACTACATATATTAAGCTTAAATGAACTACACATGTATAAAGGTATGGTTTTGAGAAGCATTTGAAAGATGACCAATGTAAATCATATAATTACGGCACGGAGAACAGGATATCACGGAGTCTTTAGGGAACTATCATCAACCTTACGTGGCTAACAAACTGTCATGGCGGAGACCGAAGGACTTGTCAACGGTGTTGAATCCCTATCTGTGAACGACACGCCGCCTCCAGAATCTAGTGACAATGTCTCTGGCGATGAATATCATGTCAAGTGGGGATTTTCCTTGGAGGAACTCTACAAGATCGCCCTTAAGTTCTACAAAGGTAATATCAACATGTGCACGGCAAATGTCACTCGCATTTCGCACCTCGCCGCTTTTCAAGCTCACTTTTGTTGCGTATATTAGAACGCCAACCTGAAATCCGATTTCTGAGTAAACACTCTAGTCTAAAGACCAACTAGATCCCGAAATATTAATTTTATTGAATAAGAGTTGTTGTGGTGATTACCTTGATTAAGAAGTGATTAGCTTAGTGTCTACTGACACTGTGCAGCGTGCATTGTGTCGTGAAAAAAAGGAATGTTGCCAAAGGCAATCTTTATCTACGCCTAATAAAAAATGTAAACAATAAAAACTCCAAAGCCATAACAGCAAAGAGTGCTGCCCGTTACCAGTCTACTCGATAGTCGATAGACACACCAACCGAGAGCATGTAGAGCAGTCGTAGCTGACATCGAAAACTAATAAATCTTACATGAAAACAGCAGAAGTAGTAGACGGAAACTTAATAATGTTAATGTTAAGATTGTTCAACATATTAAGATCATACATTGGCTTAATTGTGAACCATAGCAACAATGTTACTGAGAATATTTTTTCAATTTAGAAAGGATGAGTGGATGATCATGAGTCATTACCATGTGGTTATCAATGCATATTATGTATACCTGGGTGCCGTAAAGTGATTGGAAGTCCCGGTACACTTACAGAATACCGGATACCTAATTATATACATTCTATTGTGCGCGTGAGGCTCCTATATATAGAAGAAACAGAGAGCGCGAGCCTGCGAGCGATCCAATAAAAATACGAATTTAAGGTTAAAATAAGGTTAAATCGAATTCCTCACCTTACTTCCAGTTTAGGAAACCTAAACTGGGGATTTTAACAGCGTTCACTGGCGTAAACAGAGTAAAAAGTAATCGTGTGTTGAAATTTTATTCAAATGCATGCTGGGAAAAGGAACTCTACAGTGTGGGAACACTCTGATGGTAAGTGATTTTTGATTGGTAAGGTAAGGTAGGTAAGGCTTTTAAATAAAGGGGGGTACCCCCTTTACCCCCATTATCTTACCTTTTTTTTAGCTTTAATATTGTTTAATATTTAATATTTAATATTAAACGCTGCTTCAACACAGCCTTCATTCATCGCGTGCCGTTGCTAAGGAAACAAAATGGAAGTGCGCAAAAATAAATAAAAATGGCGGATAGGTATCCGGTATTCTGTAATCTTGCCAGAAGTCCCATACCTTAACATAGACTTATGACTGTCGTATCGTTAAGGTTGTTTTGTACAACAGCACCCAGATTGATACTGGTTTTGTTGCTCCTAATTTCCATTAGACTCCGTAGCAATTCATGTTTGTTTATAAAACATGATAAAAGGCAACCTGATAGGTTGGGCGATCAAGCCCACTGACTTTGTTGATGTGTTCACAGTATCAATCTGTGGATTGTCTGGTTGTGATTCAGTGGTTTACAGGCCTTGAGTAATATGCATGATAAAATGCTGAACATTGATAGGCAGTGCCATCACATGAGGAAGTACCAGCTGGTTATTGTCCTTCTTTGCAACATATGCAATGATATTGATAATGCATTGTGGGTGTTTGTGGTTGTTGCCATGGTTACCAGATGGTTACTGAATACCAGTATCATTTGCATCACATTTTACTTAAATAAGGTAATTCTTTATACCCATGTGATCAAGAATGACTTATAACCATGATAACATACCAGATTATAATCATTTGTAACTGTTTTCCATGTAATGCTAGAAAGCTTACAGCACATTGTTTTCTTGAACATGTTGAACATGAAGATCCGGGGTAGAATAGGTCTTCAGCAACCCATGCTTGCCACAAGAGGCGACTATGCTTGTCGTAAGAGGCTGACTAATGGGATCGGGTGGTCAGGCTCGCTGACTTGGTTGACACATGTCATCAGTTCCCAATTGCGCAGATCGATACTCATGCTGTTGATCACTGGATTGTCTGGTCCAGACTAGATTATTTACAGACCACCACCATATAGCTGGAATATTGCTGAGTGCAGCGTAAAACTAAACTCTATCACTCACTCCAGGTAGCTCTACACATGTGTACATTGTTTGAAGCCCATTTGTGTTGTCTCCTGGCTCAATGCTGTGATATTTCTTGGTCTCTGGGAAGGTGGCTTAGTTGAAGCCTGACAGACTTATGCATATTCACTTCTTATCTTTTCAGAGAAAGAAGGAAAAGCCCTTCAGGTGACTTACAAAGACAAATTGCGGCTTGTAGCATACACAAAACAGGTGTCGTTTGGCAAGATCCGCAATGATGTGTCGCCCGATGTTGGCTTCCTTGACGTAGTTGGTAATGATAGACGGTAAGTACTTAAAATAGCAATCTATTTTTTGTAGGAACTAGGATCGGAAAAAAACACTCAAACCTGTGCCATAAACTTTCCAGTTTGCCAACCGATACTTGTCTGAACTTTACAGATCATGATTCTTACATGGGCTGTCTTGCATAGTGCATGGTTATATGATAGTGTCATAAGCCAGTGTATTAAGCAGGGTTTTACGGGACGTGTGATTCCTGCGTATTGGACGTGGAAATTTGATGAAGTACCCCCAAACTAAAATCCTGTGCATCCTTGTGGACGCAATATAATTTAAGTTTGTAATGATATCCCATATTAAAATATAAACATTCTGTTTCCAATCATTATTCCAATGACATTGAAAGTAACACATATTATAACCTAATCTTTATCAAATGGGAAGCATCCATGATCATTGATTTCATGATGATGGACTCCCAATTTTGGAAATCGACTCTAATACATATGCCTTGAGTCCCCAGGACTCCCAGTTTCGAAGAGCTATGTAAAACCCTGAGTAAGTCATTCAATTTAACAAATATTTTCATGCACATTTTATTGTTGGGTGTGCCATATAGCTGGAATATTGCTGAGTGCAGCGTAAAACTAAAAAAAACCTATAGTTAGGTGTATGGTTTCCAGTGCAGTATTTGTATTGTGTCTTTATGTGATCTCATAAGAAAGGTGTTGAGACTCTTTTGAGATTTGCTCAGAAACAAACTTCAGATTCAAGAAAACCCCTGTTGAGTGCCACAGTTAAACTTTACAAAGTTTATGATTACAATGATTCTGAAGAGAGCATAACCGCAAGTCTTTGAGTTAAGTCATGACCCGTCAGCAGCTTGCTACTTGTCATTCAGATCGTTTTGATTTGCTTGACTCAGTAAATCAGGGTTAGACTAGTGACACACGTTATACCCATGTCTGTTGGTTTTCACAAAACTGGTCAACATCTGAGACCTGCATCTCATCAGGTTTCCCTCCCACGTTAAACTGATACATCGTTATATAACTAGAATACGTTTCAGAGCCATGTTCATTTTGAGTTTTTTTTAATTTGTTTGCCAGACTTGTCTTATTTGTGAAAATGAGCGAGATGGACTTGTGGGAAGTTAATTTCGAAATCTAGAAGTTACAATCTGTGCTTCAAAATAATTTGTAATTACCTCCATTTACACAAATTCATCACTGGGTTGGACTGTCTCCCTGCCTCCAATGCTTCAGCCAGTTGGCTGTTGATTAGTGAGTGTGCAACAGTTTCAGGGGATCAGTCTACTCGCTGGATAAAATTCCCAGTTGGAATTCTGTCAATTAATTCCCACAGTAATGTGAATATTATCAGGTTAAATGCCAGTGATTTCCAAGTTCTGAATGTATGTTTTGTAAATATTTTTTTGATTGGCTGAACTGATTATCTATTATCAAACTATGAATATCTCCAGACACCATCCTATTTCAGGTTTAACCAACATGGCCGGTCCACAGGACAAGGTTTTAAATGTAAAAATAACAACTGAAAATATAACAAATAATAAATCTAAAAAGGCAAACAGAGAAGGAAAATAACAAATTGAAAAATGGAAACAAGAATGTAAATACTTTCATGATTTTTCATGACTGGCTTGTCGATTGTTATTTGTGTATACAATACCCTGCCTCACCATCTGCCTTGTACATAGGTTAGCATTTATATGTTTTCTTCTTTTCCCTGATTTAGCAGGACAAGTTGTAAGTCAGACTGGGCAGGTAGAAGTAAAAGTTGTTGTTTTTGGACGTATTTTGGTATGTGAACATACCTGATTTTCACCATGTGCTTTAAATCAATATTCCTGTGGGAAATGGATCTGCCATGACTCATAAGTTGGTGCATGTTATTATTGATTATGAAATGCATAAGTTTATTTCCTGGTAAGCCTATCACCAGTCACAAACATGCAGAGATATTTTTTCAACAATTACTGAGAAATTAAAGCGTCGGTCCAATCTTCCATCCCACGCCTGTCATATCAATACTCCTGATAATGCTAGGTAAATTGTATTCTAAAAACAAGTTTGTTGATTTGTTTACATGTTTGTAACTGATGCAGCATGAGGTCAAAGTGTTATCAATCGGTTTGAACGATAATAGACCACAGGTAATTAGTAAGTGATTCTGGGATGCACTGACGTCCAGAGTCTAATGACTAGACTGATGGACAGAAACATAGCAGTGTTTTGTATGCCAATAGAATTCTGTGACGTAGATACACGTGAAGATCCGGGGTTAGAATTGGTCTTCAGCAACCCATGCTTGTCGTAAGAGGCGACTAACGGGATCGGGTGGTCAGGCTTCTGACTTGGTTGACACATGTCATCGTATCCCCATTGCGTAGATCGATGCTCATGGTGTTGATCACTGGGTTCTCTGGTCCAGACTAGATTATTTACAGACCGCCTCCATATAGCTGGAATATTGCTGAGTGCGGCGTTAAACAACAAACTGACAAACCAACTGTGACGTAGGACAATTTGAGTACAAGATTAGCAGTAAGAAGTTGTCATTGGCATCAATGAGCATGGTCATGATGATAAGAGGAGAAGAGCACAACTGTGGGAGAACTTGAATGAGAGAGAACAACTATATGCAAGTACTCACATGGTGTTTCATTGGTCGCAACTTGTTAGGATTCCCAGTTGTCTGGTTAGAATAGGTACCCAGCAGTCTAAGCTTGTTGTAAGAGGCAATGAAAGGGTTCAGTTTTTCATCTATGGAGACATGGTTGATCGTGTGTGCATATGATGCTACTCACCATGCTCATTATATCAATCACTAGATTGTTTTTTTCCGTGCATGAATATTTATTGACTGCTTTATATGCATGATATAGTGTAATGGTGGTGAGTGAAGTGTTAAACAAACAAACACTAACAGGAAGAAATATATGTGAGTGTTACTAGTATTTGAATTCAATAAGTCTTCACCGGCCATGAATGGTAGTGCTGTAGGTCTCTGTCCTGAAGGGGCCATGAGGTAGCCTAGTGGTTAAAGCATTTTCTCATTACACCGAAGACTCAGGTTTGATTCCTCACATGGCTATAATTTGTGAAACCCATTTCTGGTGTCCCCTTATGTGATATTGCTAAGAGCAGCGTAAAACTAAACTCACTCACTCTCTTCTGAACCCTTGTCTCACAGTGTGATTGTAGCACTATAACTGTGCTTAGTCGATGTGAAACAAGGAGACTATGAGAGTTAGGTCATTGGTTGTTCCATGTGTACTTTGAGCATTTGTTGAGTGTTCAGGAAACTGGAATCAGGGCCAAGTCCATCTAGAAATGTTGAAGAGGATAGGATACTCTGAAAGAAAACCAAGCATTCATTTTGTAGGAAAATGGATGAATTTACCTGAATGTGTTGGTCATTGTTGATATTAGATCCTGTTTTATTTTGATTTCTGTACAATCACCATGTCCTGATTAATTTTGAGCATGTTGAGTTGCTTACGTACCGATATGCATGAAAACAGTAAGAACACAGCATAGTGGGTAATTACTTGATTTTGTCTCTTCTGCTCCTGTATGTCTTTGCTGATCTTTTTTCAATGTGAATACTTGCTTCATCCATGATCATGCGTCAGCTGTACAGCAGTGATTCATGCAAAGGAGTAACACAATGTTTTTTCGTTGCAACTCCCACATCAATCACTGTCAGTGTTACAATGGACTTTAGTTATGGCCTTGTGTGAACGTAAATCGGGGCAGCACATGAACAGAGGCAGATTACAAGTACTATTCAAAATGTTGAACAACTATTCAGAATTGTTATCAAACGGTCCACTCATATTTTTGAATAATATCAAGCAGACAAAAATATGTTGAAAATTATTAATACTTTGAGAAATACAGACATAACATACAGCAATTATGAGAATACCACAATGACAAACCGAACTTTCAGATGATGAATGAGATACATACTATTAACATGACAGCTGTTTATTACCATCACAGCAGACAAGCTAAATCTCGGGATCACGTTGATGCTCTGTGCTTATCAATAAGTGATATTATTTATGGCTGTTTATATGAGTAATGAGATACTATCACTTGAAGCATGCATTAACTACTATAGTTATGATGTGAATACAACATCGATAAACCCTTTCCATAATAATCATGAAAATGTGTCTTAAGGTACAGTTATCATGGTTATATTTCTTCAAAAGAAATGGTGTTTTGATTCGGAATCCTTTTTTGTAACTTGTTTCCACTCCACAACTTCAACATGATCTTAATATGTCTATCTATTTGTTATTCAGGTAAAAATACTCTTATTATAATAATGACTTATAACCTTGGTAAACTGAGTGAAACAAAATTTAAAATTTTAATTTGACATGACAACCTCAGATTCTGAACCTTTTTGTCACATAATGGGAAGGGTAGAGACCAGGAAAAGCGTTGAGTACAGGGGCGTTGTGGTAGCCTAGTGCTTAAACATGTTAAAGCGTCCGCTCGTCATGCTGAAGACTCGGGTTCGATTCCCCACAAGGGTACACTGCATGAAGACCCATTTACGGTGTCCCCGCCGTGATAATGCTGGAACATTGCTAAAAGTGGCATAAAACCACACTTGCTGATAAGAAGAAGATTACTTCTATTTTCCTGTAAAACCCATTTTTTGTTTTATTTTGGCATTACCTGATTGTCCTACAGACTAATATTTTCACTGCCTTGACTGTAGCACTGCCGCGAGCCAGTGGTGAGTATAGTGTATAATGTCTCACCATAGTTGTCCTGACGATGTGTCCTGCTCACAGTCTAACCCTGCTGTTGTTCTCTCTCTTTCTGGTCTCCTCCTCCGCTATAATCAATGTTATGTTCAGCATCATCAACATGTGTTGTTATTGTTACATGGATGCAGGAGCTAAGCATCAAGCAACTTGTTGGAGAACTTACATCAGATTCAGAGGAATTAAAGATCAAGGAGTAAAACATTATCCTTTATGGATACAGTATTTATTCTTCATATATTTTTGGACATTGTGTGGAATATTGCTGTATAGCGTATGTTATGGGATATGATTGAAAGGAGAATATACTGCTATCTATGATGTTTTCACATCTTGATAAGCTGAACTGTGGACCTGAAAGTATTCTTGAGAATGTTTACTTTCGTATGATATTGTACAATTGCTGTATATGTTGTCATCGAGGTATCTGATTGTGGTTGATATTTATACCTCATGATGTATTTTCCCTTATCATGTATATATTAATGATAACTAGGCTGTCAGTTGAACTATTAATGTACGATGATGATACAGCTATTGGTGAGTCATACTGTGTATCATGTTTATCATCTTTGTGTTTGAAATATGTACGGATGCCAACTTCTAGCGTTATATAGTCCGTTTGGCTCAAAAGCGAACCGATGAATTTGAACCTAATTTGAAAAATAATAAACATATAATACTCAATGAAACGCTGATCATAATCAAAACATCAGACCAACTCTGTGATTTATTTGCTGAATTTATGTCCTAAAAATAAAAAAGTTGTTTAGCAAACTATCATTAAAATTTTGACACAGTTCACTGTGTTACGAGGGAGGAGTGCAGAGGAAGGGACAGCCAGGTGTTCAAGAAGCACGTGCACAAGTGCCGACAAAGTTATTGATTCAATAATCTGTGCTGTGCCGTCTCCATCCTTTCTCGCACACCTGGCTGTCCCTTTCTCTGCACTCCTCCTACGTAACAAATAGTGAACTGTGTCAAAATTTTAATGATAGTTGGTTAAACAACTTTTTAATTTTTAGGACATAATTCTGCAAATAAATCACAGAGTTGGTCTTATGTTTTTATTATGATCAGTGTTTCATTGAGTATTATATGTTTATTATTTTTCGAGTTAGGTTGCAATTCATCGGTCCGTTTTTGAGCCAAACGGACTGTAGTTTGTTTTCTGCCTTGTGTGTTGTGATCATGTTAACAAAATCCTTGTGCACTTTGTACACTGTCAGATATTGTTGAGGTCAACCTGTGCAAGGAAATGTTTCATTGTTATCAAGTTATGTTGTGACCCAAGGTGAAACATCAATAATAGTTTTTTGTTATAGTGTTAAACCTGATGGTATATCCCCATGACTACCGGGTATTCTACAGGTCTGCTCCTGTACAGTCTGCAGGTCTTCTAAAGTGTAGTCTGTAGGTTTACTACCATGCAGTCTGCTGGTTTGCACCTGCTCAGTCTACTACTGTGTATTTTGCTGGTCCATAGCTCTGTATTCTGCAGGTCTGCTACTGTGTATTCTGCAGGTCCATAGCTCTGTATTCTGCAGGTCTGCTACTGTGTATTCTGCAGGTCTAATACCATGCAGTCTGTAGGTCCATAGCTCTGTATTCTGCAGGTCTGCTACTGTGTATTTTGCTGGTCCATAGCTCTGTATTCTGCAGGTCCATAGCTCTGTATTCTGAAGGTCTGCTACTGTGTATTCTGCAGGTCCATAGCTCTGTATTCTGAAGGTCTGCTACTGTGTATTCTGCAGGTCTAATACCATGCAGTCTGCAGGTCCATAGCTCTGTATTCTGCAGGTCTGCTACTGTGTATTCTGCAGGTCCATAGCTCTGTATTCTGAAGGTCTGCTACTGTGTATTCTGCAGGTCTAATACTGTGCAGTCTGCAGGTCCATAGCTCTGTATTCTGAAGGTCTGCTACTGTGTATTCTGCAGGTCTAATACCATGCAGTCTGCAGGTCCATAGCTCTGTATTCTGCAGGTCTGCTACTGTGTATTCTGCAGGTCCATAGCTCTGTATTCTGCAGGTCTGCTACTGTGTATTCTGCAGGTCCATAGCTCTGTATTCTGCAGGTCTGCTACTGTGTATTCTGCAGGTCCATAGCTCTGTATTCTGCAGATCTGCTACCATGCAGTCTTCAGGTCTACTGCCATGGATTCTGTAGGTCTACTTCTGTGTATACCCTCTGAGTAGATGTACAAGCAATATGTGCAAGCATGGTGATTGTACACATCTGGTCTGCTGCATCACACTGTCAATCCACAGCTTGTTTTGTCTGTGATGACCTACTGGTAGTAACCACAGATGTTGCTGAGAAGTAGTCATCTCAATATCGTGACATAAAAATTGGTGGTATTCATATAGACATGGTGCTTGTGTGGAGCCGTGGACAGATGACAGTGATGAAGAAAAAGCTGTTACAAGAGGGATGAGTTTAACATATTGACAGCCATCAGCATTGACTTAAAGGTCCGGATGATGTCATCTGATTAGTATAAAACAACTCAAAGACATTGTAACTTATATGTAAGCAAATGATCAGATTCAAGTGAGTTGTTACTAATATTGCTCCAACAATGGTCGGGCAAGCAGGTGCAGTGTAATTATATGGATATGTCCCAGTGAAGATCTGGGTTAGAACTGCAACCTATGCTTTTTATAACAGGCAAATAGTTCGTTGTTGAGGCTCGGTAATTTTGATGCATAGATAAATTCTCATGATCTCTGTCACTGGAATCTCTTGTACAATCTTTATTCCTTATAAATATAAGCCACAATCATATAGCAGATATGTTATTCAGTGTGGCATTAAATAAAAACCCCAAACAGAATGAACATTAGTGTTATAAGGAACAGGGCCTAGATTTTCTAAGCTCTCTTAGCGCTAAAATAGTCGTACCGGGTAAGTTAATGTTAATGTATGGCTCTTACGACTATCTTAGTGCTAAGAGAGCTTTGAAAATCTAGGCCCAGATCATTTTCAAACAGAGTTTTGAATAATGCATAGTACATCATGGTACATGTTGTAAATAATGCGATTATATTATTGTTATGTGATAGCTAAGAACATATTCATAATAACGTTGCAGTAAGTCCACCATTGTGAGTCATCTGTACCTGCTAACAATGGAGATTCCCTGGCTATATCATGTTGTCCAATGTAACTAACAGGTTCACCATTTTGGCAGTTCAGCATGTTCTGTGGAGTGATTGGGATGTTGTTGGGGATTTAAATGAGGTAGCTGTTCTGCTGCCATCTTGTACATTTTCTGACAAAAAGAGAATTGTAAAGTATTGTCTAGTGGAGGTGATTATCATGACTAAGGCATTTCTGTTTTAATTGTTTGATGTTATAATTTGGACATGTTGATAGCTGGTAGTGTATATTCAGTACAGTCAAACAACATTGTGTTGTACTTTGATGTGTCAGAAGGTCTTGAAGTAAAGGGGGCGATGGGGTAGCCTAGTGGTTATTGCTGGAATATTGCTAAAAGCGGCGTAAAACCCCACTCACTCACTCACTCACTCACCCAAGTAAAGCTTGGATCCTGTGTCTTCCTTATCTAGCCATCAATTTGCAGCTGTGTGGAACCTTGGATAGCTCGAAGTAATCAAGGAGGTCCCTTAAACTTTAGCACAATAATGTTTGACTGTATTGTGATTTCTACTTGTAATTGAGTTATTGACATATTCCTATCAGGCCGTCATGAGGAAACACAATCTCCAGATAGTCCTCGTCTGTGCAATTGCATCATTATTAACACTTATTCTTTCAACTGGTACACTATGTGTACTCAAGCGCATAAACCTATGATAGTGGGTTAAAAATCCAGACAGGAACTATTCCAGGTGTCAAAACTAAGTGCCTTGGGCTCGTAAATCCGAATAACTTTCCAATTTTCTTCAGAAACTGGATTTTTAAAAGTTTTATTCTTTCCGTATCATTGTGTCGGGAGACTGCATTCAGTACAAAGTATGAAACTATGTTATAACTGAATATGACTTCTTTTTCTTTATTGGCCTTGTTTGAGTGAAATACAAGTTGACTCTATCATGTCTATAAAGCTATAAAAGTAGTTGAATTTTTTGTTCAGAATTGGGTATTTTAGTATGATAGTTACTGCCATCTTGGGGCCAAATACCGGGCTCTGAGCATTCTGGCAAGGATAAATCCATGGAGGATTCCTTCTGTGGTCATCAACACCATACCTGTTCTTGCGTGTTTCACCAATGTTGTAACGCCTGATCAACTGTTCAGATGAGCAGTCCATCAAACTCACTCACTTACTCGCCAAGGGTGATCAACCTTTCGTGTAGGTATAGTATTATGTGTTTGCTTTCAGGCAAGCCTGGCAAGCTCTAGGGGATATGTCGAAGGAGAGCGCCATGGAGGAGTTTGTGAAGTTCCTGGAAGGGTCCTGTAACCTGTTCAAACCTTTCGTGGAGGCTCACAAAGCAGAGAAGGAGGAGAAACTAAGACAGCAGTAAGTCTTGAGTGCTAATATTCAGCCATTCTGATAATCTCAGTACCAGTTGTGTACTTCTTTTATGTTGGTATGGAGTATGTTTATTATAAAGATCATAGTATACTGAGGCCTTACTTGAATACTTGTAGGGTCCAGAGGTTCTCTTGTTACTCATTTTAAGGGTGCTTACAGGAAATGTAAGTGCCCTGTAAAGTAGTGAAGTAGTATGTTGTAATGTATTGGACTGTGAGATGGAATAATTACATTTACATAGGAATATTTCTTGGCCTTGTAAAACCACTGCAAACATGACATTTTAATATTGTTATTGGTCCATTTGATGATATGTTACTTTTGTTCTTTCCATGTTGTTGCAAAGTCACCAGTAGTATATTAGCCAAAAACCTGGGCCATGCAGGAATAGATGTATGGATGTTGAATTTCTTTACTCCATATGTCCAGTAGTTGGGCACTGTTGTGAATTGTCCAAATTTTCATATGAAGTGCTATGACCAGTGTTTGCAATACTTTAATTTAACAGTTGGCCATCAGGGCCTGCATGCTTTAAAATCTACAGGCCCTGAATGAAATCTGCAGGCCCATTTTGTTAAAGTCAAACCAATAAAAACAAAATAGACTACAGTGTACACTTTCACACTGTTTTTACAAAATCAATTAGCGAAGCCTATGTCGCAGAGAGACGTTTTTATTTGTTAAAGACTGGTGTTGACATTCCTATGCGCAAAGTGCTGAAAAACCATGAAGTGAAACTGTAAGTTATCGTAACATGGTGGATCACGGATGATTCCCAAACGTTAATAAAGAAAACAAAAACAAAGGAAATATTCCAGTTGAAAAAAAATGACAGATAATTTACTGAAGGCCACAAGGGCCTGCAGATATTTGAAACTGCCAGCCCGATACAATAACAACCGACGCTGGGCCTCTGGGCCAGCAATTATTTCGAATGCTGGCTATGACTGATTTGATTGACTGTCCTGATCAGGCAAGAAGAGGAGGAACGCCTGCGTCGTGAGGAAGAAGAGAGAAAGCAGCGGGAACTGGAGGAAGAGGCCCGGAAACAGCAGGAGGCTGAGAAACAACGGCAGATGGAACAAGAGTAGGTGTTCTTCAGTCTGTATGTTGTAGAAGGCTTCTACAGGGATAGAGTAGGTCCCCTGTCTGTATGTGCTGTGGGATACGGGGATAGAGTAGGTCCCCTGTCTGTATGTGCCGTGGGATATGGGGATAGCCGTGGGACACGGGGGATAGAGTAGGTCCCCTGTCTGTATGTGCTGTGGGATACGGGGATAGAGTAGGTCCCCTGTCTGTATGTGCTGTGGGATACGGGGATAGAGTAGGTCCCCTGTCTGTATGTGCTGTGGGATACGGGGATAGAGTAGGTCCCCTGTCTGTATGTGCTGTGGGACAGGGGATAGAGGGATAGAGGGGATAGAGTAGGTCCCCTGTCTGTATGTGCTGTGGGATACGGGGATAGAGTAGGTCCCCTGTCTGTATGTGCTGTGGGATACGGGGATAGAGTAGGTCCCCTGTCTGTATGTGCTGTGGGATGCGGGGATAGAGTAGGTCCCCTGTCTGTATGTGCTGTGGGACACGGGGATAGAGTAGGTCCCCTGTCTGTATGTGCTGTGGGATACGGGGATAGGGTAGGTCCCCTGTCTGTATGTGCTGTGGGATACGGGGATAGAGTAGGTCAGATGCTGATAATGACAGTGTTGTACTGATACAGCAGTACCATATTGTATTGGAATACAAAGCTCACAATCAATAGGGGCGATGAGGTAGCCTAGTGGTTAAAGCGTTCACTCGTCATGCTGAAGACCCGGGTTTGTTTCCCCACATGGGTACAATGTGTGAAGCCCATTTCTGGTGTGCCCCGCTGTGATATTGCTGGAATACTGCTAAAGGTGGCGTAAAACTAAACTCACTCACTCACTCACAATCAGTACCTCGATGAACAACTGTATCTCAGTACAAGTGATGCATTATATTAGAAGTTACATTGATGTAACGTCATGTGAATATCAACAGAAACTGTTCAAGAACTAGTTTATGCAGAGTCTTTGGTATTTCCTGGCTGGCTGTAAATAGCAGAATCTCCACACTGACCCCAAGATTATATTTTTCTCCCTTATAATATTCCATCTTCACTGTCTGAAATTTAGAAACAAATGATTCAGGGCTGATTCACTTGCATAAAGGGAGACAATAAGAACTTTTGAAATATAAATTCTCACACACTTGCTAAGATGGCTTGCAACAGACCACAGCCAGATATTCAATCAATTAAGCCCATTCCAAGAGATTACTGGTTTGTCATTTCATCTTCAATAACTGCAACTTGGCAAAATAAATGGGACAATGAAACTACAGGTAGACACATGTACTCTACTTGTCCTGTAGTAAGCAAACATTTTAAAATTCGTCGGCATTGTCGCAGAGATGCAGTTTTTTTAACTCGCCTCAGGCTAGGACATTGTGGATTAAAGGCGTATAGAAGTATTTTAGATAAAGACTTTCTCCTCTGTGTGAAAGCTGTAACTTACACTGCCCAGAAACAGTTCAGCACTACTTCATTGAATGTCCAGCTCATGAAAACCCACGTAAGGCTCTTGAAGAAACTCTGCTTAACAAAACCAAAAATACCTTTGCAATGAATGCAATACTTGGCGATAATTTAATGTACGGTTGCATACAAAGAGCTGTATTAGATTTCCTCGTTAAAAGGGGTAAGTATGACGTAATTGAACTGAACAAAAATATAACAGTTTGTTAATTGTTGGGCGCATATAGGCCTTTTAAGGCCCAAGGTCGCCCTAAAACCTTATCTACTTACCTACCTATAAATTCTCTAACAGGATACAAATCGTACTGCACCATTATTATTGTGATGCGTTTTGCATCGCTGCCTCATATCATTACACCTTTAATAAGTAGACCATATAAAACTGCACACACCAATACAAAATCATCGAGATCATATAGTTCTGTAGTGGTTAGCCAAACAGTGAGTGAATTTAATTTTTGTTTTTAGCAATATTATTATGGCAGGGCACACCAGAAATGGGCTTTTCGCATTGTACCCATGTGGGGAATCGAGCCCCAGTCTTTGGTGTAACAAGCAAATGCTTTAACCACAACTCTACCCCACCACCCCAGTTAGCCAGACAAATGCCCAGGAAATACTTCCAGTTTATGTTTACACATGGTAGCAGAAGGTGGTTGTCGTGCAAATGTTATTGCAAGTCTCCACTATTTTATGAGAGTTATGTTAAATATAGTGTGAAGTGAGCCTAGGCCCTGTTTACAGTTTGACTAAGTGGGTCAGGCGTAAACCAACACAGGGACAGATTTTTATTGTATATTTAACTGAATTTATTTACAAAATATGACTTTGATTTTTGAGAATTTGTTTGATCATGTTTAGAGTAATTTGGTCTTTTTAAACTTAAATGTCCCACCAAGCTTTTTTCGAGATATGTAATCCTGAAGTGTTGTTGCCTTATGCTTATTACAAATGGGGTGGCGGGGTAGCCTAGTGGTTCGCTCGTCATGCTGAAACCCTGGGTTCGATTTTCCACATGGGTACAATGTGTGAAACCCATTTCTGGTGTACCCTGCTGTGATATTGCTGGAATATTGCTAAAAGCGGCGTAAAACTTAACTCAGTCAGTCAGTACTACATGTATTATGTATGGTATGGATGCAGGTGATTGTCTTCAGAACAGGTGTCTCTCTGTTTCAGAATGCAGATCCGATCTGCGTTGAACCAGCAGACGGCAGCCCAGTTCCGGCAGTATGCAGAGCAGCAGTATCCAGGCAACACGCAGATGGTCAGTCACTGCCCATCACACCTTACACCCAACCCTGGCTTGGCCTTAGATATCTGGTTTTAAGACTAGTCCAGGGGACCAGAGGAAGTTATATTTCAGTAGCATTCAGGCTGTATCTAGTCCTCCTTGACAAGACAAAGATGTTTGCTTTATTTACATTTTCTGTTGAGTTTATTCACTTCCTGTTTGTTGAAAAATTGAAGCATTGAGAACTAGTTAAGAATTATACTCCTCAAATGAAGACTGGCAAGATTTTTGATTATATACAGTATTATTAATAACTTATGTTATGGCTTTGCACAGGCCACTTGTTTTTCCTGACTAATTTGATAAACATTTGAGAATATTTTTACCCAAAAGATTGTATGCTTAGGCTTTTAGGACTTCTCTAGTCTGTGTGTCAGTCCCTGAACCATGTTGTTTTCTCTTCTAACCTGCCTTTTTTGTAATGTAAAAACCCAAACTAACGGAAGTCTAGATTTCCCCCTGGTTCCAGTGTGAATCTCCCATCTCACTTTAGCTCTTTTTCATTTTGAATGTGTTTTTTTTTTTCTACCAGTATGTATTAGTTTATGACAAATCCCTGGTGTTTTACCCTTGGTTTCTATTTCTGGTGTGTAGCAAGAAGAGCTGATTAGGCAACTGCAGGAACAGCACTTCCAGCAGTACATGCAGCAGGTGTACCAGCAGCAGCTCATGCACCAACAGCAGCAGCTGCAGCAGATGCACACCTCAAACAACAACAGTAGCACTACCCTGCCTCAGCCTGCCACGCCCCAGCAGCTCAACTCCTACCCACAGCAGAGCATGGACCTTGGACACAGGGAGGGTCAGGCGCTGGAGAATGGCCAGACAGATGGAGCTGAAGGTGAGGAGGATTCATCCTAGTTATAGGGGCGGAGGGGTAGCCAAGTGGTTGATGTGTTCATCATGCCGAATTCCCGGGTTTGATCCCCCACGTCTGTACAGTGTGTGAAGCTGATTCATTGTATCCTTCGCCGTGATATTGCTGGAATATTGCTTAAAGCGGTGTAAAACCATTTTAACTAAACTCTTCTGTTACAGGAACACATGGTTGTATATGTATTGATGGTATTGACCTCTGTGAGTTCTCTCAAATGGGTCCCCCATAACCTGTGTTGACCATAAGAGGTGACCAGACCAGGTGGTCAAAGTGGTTAATTGTTTGACATCATACCCTGTTCTCGTGGATTAATGCTCATGATGTCAATCACTAAATTGCTGGGTCAAGACGACATTAATTGCAGGCTGCAGACATATAGCTGGAAAAATTGCTGAGTGCAGCTTTAGACAACAAACACGCAGTTTTAGAATGTTTTGCGTGTCGAAGCTTGGATGATACCTGTTACACAGAGTATTGTTGTTACTTAACAAGATTTTTCAGTTATACAAGTTTTTGATGATAAGCTACATAAATCAATTTGATATTTTGCATTTAAAAAACCCTTTTAGAAATCATGTCATTTTTTCATCATCAAAACAATAACTGTCATCAACTCTGTTGTGCACATGGAGGAGAAATGTACAGGATGTTACCATGGTTACATTGAAATGGTTCTCCCCAGAGATGGTTCTTTTCTGGATTCTTATAGGGTTTCTCTGAAGATTGACATGGTACACATCCAATATTTCAGAATCTATTGCTCCATCTTTGCCACATATTATGCCTGCATCAATGTGGACCCGTAAAGATTTGAAGCAGTTTAAGGAAAGTGTTGGAAAGTGCAAAGAAAATGTGATCAAAATAGGTTCCCTGGCAACGGCCACGGTGAGTTGAATGTCGGCAGGTTGGTCTCACAGTGCAGTCAACACGTGGGGGAAGATGGGCAGTGGACAGAACATCAGGCTCCTGAGTATTATTGTGAAGGGCAAATCTGTGCCAGATTTTATAACTTGTGTTATCTCCCTTATGCCATCACCACCAAGGTGATATTTGAAGTGTTTAGCAGAAATTTCTTTTCCAAACTGCGATGGAACTTTTGAACCTTCTACCCAAAACATGACTCTAAACATCAATTTTGTACTGTTAAGTGTATTATGGATACTTTTATATCCCAAGCTTTGAAAACCTAAAACAATTTTTACCAGACTTCGGATAAGTAGATGAAGTCCCAGACTGATGTTTTGGTGTATAATATTGGTGGATCTCCTTCTCCTTTTGATTATCAGAATGGCAAATATACCTTCTTGATTGAAATACTTATGTATTATTCATAGTGTTCTTCACTGAACATTATGGTTAAAAACTTTCAAAAGTGTGAATTCTTGCTTTAACATGTTTAACGGTCTCTCTGTACGTGTTAATATTATGTATTATAAGTGTACTTCCTCTGTAAAAAGATACTTCATCTTTAAGTTACGATATGTATTTATTGAACTGTGGAGCCTGTCGGGTTCCTCCCTGCCCAACTTCATGTTGCTGTCTGGTGTGTAGTTAAACCTTTCTATGTTGAGTAACGCCTCGTCATTTGCTTTGTGGTGTTTCTAGATGAGTTACCTCCCATTGCCGCAGCCTCCATGTGGACTCGCAAAGATATTAAAGAATTCAAGGATTCTCTACGTAAAGATAAGGACTCTGTAATTAAGATAGGCTCAGGAGAAACAGTTACAGTGAGTATCTTGTAGAGCAGTGTATATCAACCTTCCACTCACTAACTTCGAATTCTAACACTGCTAAGCACAAGGACACAGACCTCAATGTGACACTTGTTTTTAAGCTGACCCAGACCCTTGGTGTTTCAACTCAAATATTTTCCCTCCATTTTGGTGAATTCTGATGACTTTCTTTCTGGATCATTTTATATGGACTGAATGTCAAGAAAGAGCTGCTTGTATAACTGTTTTTGGCAGAAAGACATTAATGTACTCGCACAGCTTTTATGATGTAGATGTAGATTCGTGGCTAGCAAAGCAATGACAGTGTATCTCTAGGGGGTTATAACTAGAGCAGCACAGGAGGCAGTAGGCAACGTCTTTGGTGTTATCACTGTCACTTCCTCTTGTAAAGCTTTTGAAACAGAAACTGGTGGAGGAATTAGCATAACTGAAGGACCTCTATTGTCCAGTGTGTTGTTACGTCTGTATTTCCTAAAGATGAATACCCAGGACCTACTGGCCATGGCTTCAATATTTGACCAATTGAGTTTCATATGTAACAATAGAGTTTCATTTTTAAAGCTTGATGCATAAAAGAGCAGTCCAGTCAAATTTCACATAGAGATGTAATACACTGGAAGAATGAGGAGGTATTGGTTTTGGGGAGGACTTGTATAAAATGTTAGAAAGTGACATGAAATGAAAACAGCCATCTCCAGCTGTTAATGATGATGATGCACATTAAGATATATATGACTTAAAAGATGTCGAAGAGCATTGTGGTATGAACAGACCCAGTGTTCTTTTCTCTTTTTTGGAATAGCATGTTTGGTTTTGGACTTTGAGACACATCATTCAAGTAAACAATTGCATGTAAATGCTTTTCAATTGAATTATACTTTATGTAACTTAAATTATTATGAACCTCCCTATTGCTGTCTGATATCTGCCTAAGCATTTGGAAAATCCTTTCAATTTCTTCAGTTTAAATTTGTTGTACTTCCTCTGTAAAAAGATACTTCATCTTTAAGTTACGATATGTATTTATTGAACTGTGGAGCCTGTCGTGGTTCCTCCCTGCCCAACTTCATGTTGCTGTCTGGTGTGTAGTTAAACCTTTCTATGTTGAGTAACGCCTCGTCATTTGCTTTGTGGTGTTTCTAGATGAGTTACCTCCCATTGCCGCAGCCTCCATGTGGACTCGCAAAGATATTAAAGAATTCAAGGATTCTCTACGTAAAGATAAGGACTCTGTAATTAAGATAGGCTCAGGAGAAACAGTTACAGTGAGTATCTTGTAGAGCAGTGTATATCAACCTTCCACTCACTAACTTCGAATTCTAACACTGCTAAGCACAAGGACACAGACCTCAATGTGACACTTGTTTTTAAGCTGACCCAGACCCTTGGTGTTTCAACTCAAATATTTTCCCTCCATTTTGGTGAATTCTGATGACTTTCTTTCTGGATCATTTTATATGGACTGAATGTCAAGAAAGAGCTGCTTGTATAACTGTTTTTGGCAGAAAGACATTAATGTACTCGCACAGCTTTTATGATGTAGATGTAGATTCGTGGCTAGCAAAGCAATGACAGTGTATCTCTAGGGGGTTATAGCTAGAGCAGCACAGGAGGCAGTAGGCAACGCCTTTGGTGTTATCACTGTCACTTCCTTGTAAAGCTTTTAAAACAGAAACTGGTGGAGGAATTAGCATAACTGAAGGACCCTATTGTCCAGTGTGTTGTTACGCCTGTATTTCTCTAAAGATGAATACCCAGGACCTACTGGCCATGGCTTCAATATTTGACCAATTGAGTTTCATTTGTAACAATAGATGATGCTAAAGCTTGATGCATAAAGAGCAGTCCAGTCAAATTTCACATAGAGATGTAATACACTGGACCTAATGAGGAGGTATTGGTTTTGGGGAGGACTTGTATAAAATGTTAGAAAGTGACATGAAATGAAAACAGCCATCTCCAGCTGTTAATGATGATGATGCACATTAAGATATATATGACTTAAAAGATGTCGAAGAGCATTGTGGTATGAACAGACCCAGTGTTCTTTTCCCTTTTTTGGAATAGCATGTTTGGTTTTGGACTTTGAGACACATCATTCAAGTAAACAATTGCATGTAAATGCTTTTCAATTGAATTATACTTTATGTAACTTAAATTATTATGAACCTCCCTATTGCTGTCTGATATGCCTAAGCATTTGGAAAATCCTTTCCATTTCTTTAGTTTAAATTTGTTGCTGTGTCTTATGTTTTTGATCTGTGTGTGCGAATGGAAAATGGTGCAGTTGGTGATGGGTTAGTGGTTATTTCTTTCAGTGTGGTCAGGGAAGGACTTCAGTAAACTATGTTTTACTAACTGGTTCTTGTAAATAGCTGTAAAATGCTGAGATGAAAAGCAGCTTTAATTGTTCATTCTGTAACCAGTTCTTGTCATGAGGGCTGGCCAATGAGTGGTTACAATCAGTGACCTGGCTGATTATGTAGCATTATACCCGTGAAGATCCAGGTTAGAATTGATCTTCAGGAACCTATGCTTGTCGTAAGAGGTGAATAATGGGATCGGGTGGTCAGGCTCGCTGACTTGGTGACACATGTCATTGTATCCCAATTGAGAAGATTGATGCTCATGCTGTTGATCACTGGATTGTCTGGTCCAGACTTGATTATTTGCAGACAACTGCCATATAGCTGGAATATTGCTGGGTGTGGCGTTAAAGACACAAAATTACAAAAAATGTAGCACCATACCCTGATGGTGTGGATATTGCTGATGCTGTCAACCAAAGGTTTGCCTATCGACCTGATGTTGCCTGGACAATTGTTGAATGTGGTGTAAAACAACATTCACTCGGATCTTCTTCAATTCATGTTGTATGGGAATATTTTGGCCTAAACTATATGCATCAATGGTAAAGTAAAGATGTGACAATGGTATCTATAAGATTGCACATATGTTAATTTACTAAGTAGTTTGAACGTAGGGGCTTCTGTTGTAAGTCAGTTTGTGCTACCGTTGTTACATGAACTATGATGAACAGGTCGTGAACATTGTTACTTGTTGCAGGTGCGTGTTCCAACACATGAAGACGGCTCATGCTTGTTCTGGGAGTTTGCAACAGATTACTATGACATAGGGTTTGGTGTGTACTTTGAATGGACGATTGCTCCGAGTAACACAGTCAGTGTGCATGTGTCGGAAGACACAGACGAGGAGGAGTTTGAAGAGGAGGAGGGAGGTGGTGAAGCCACAGGTGAGGATGGAGCATCAGATGGGAGGCTTGGGATGGGAGGGTGTACCTCAGACTTTGGGTTGGGTATGTAAGACATGATGAGACTGTGGGTGGAGTAAGTGGGTTTGGGATTTGGGAGTTGGGTAGAGGTGTGGTTTGGATGAGCTGAGAGGCTTTGGATGGGGAGGGAGGTGAGATGTGGGTACAGGGGGGTAGGTGAGATAAGGAATGGAATGGGAGTGAGGTGAGATTTGGGAATTGGGCAAAATGAGGTGACTTGAAGAGGGAGAATAGGATACTTGGAAAGGGAGTGAGGTGAGTCATGGGATGGCTGAAGCATGAGATTTGAGATAAGGAGTGAAGTGAGATTTTGGATTGTGGAAGTGATGTGCCATTGTGGATTGGGAGTGAGGTTAGACATTGGATGCAGAGATGCCAACCCCTGTGATTTTATCGTAGTCGCTACGAATTTTAGCCTCAAACTACACCAAAAAGATTGCACTAGAAATTCTACGAAATTTGAAGAAAATTCATTAAACTTCCGATATATGGACAAAAAATCTTTCATCGATTAAATACATTATCGCCCAAAAGAGACAAGAAGAAATGTACTGTAATGCTGATACGTGTAATTTAGATATCTGGTGTTGGAGGTATGTGAAATTGAAGCTTACACTTGATTAGTGTCATATTATCTTTCTCAGAATCTATCATGATTTTAAGTATTTAGTTGACTACTAATTTTATGGTCAAACTACTGATTTTGATCCTTGACATTACTATTTGCAACACTTTGTGGTTGGCATCCCTGAGGATGGGGTGGGGTGTGAGGTTATTTTGGGTAGAGAGGTCTGACTTGGATTTATGGAGTGAGGAGGCACTTGGGAAGAATGGTAAGGTAAAACATGGGTTTTAGGGGTAGATTAGGAACTCGGGGTATAAGAGGAGACCTTGGATTAGGAATCAGGAGTCAGGGTAGATTTGGGATCGGGAATGGGTTGTGACATGGATTGGGGTGAGGTCAGATGGGGGAGTGAGGTGTAACTTGAGAAGATGGTGAGAAGGGAGATCTGGTCTTGACACAAACTTTATATCATATATGAAACCATCTGTTCCAGATGTCAAGGGAGATGTTGAGAAAGGGAAGAAACAAGATAATCGTCCACCGACAGATGAAATAATTCCAATCTACCGTCGCGACTGCCACGAGGAGGTCTACTGCGGCAGCCACACCTACCCAGGGAGGGGCGTCTACTTACTGAAGTTCGACAATTCCTACTCATTATGGAGGTCCAAAACTTTGTATTACAGAGTGTATTATTCTCGGTAGGGGGCAGGGATGGCACAGTAGTAAACAAGATTCTGTATGGGTTATGAGGTGCGAGTGTGATGATACTGAGTGAAAGATAATATATGACAACTGACATAGCTGCCAAACACCCTTCCTCTGACAGACATGTATAGATCAATACACAAAATAGGGGATACTAACTTCAAGGCATTGATTGCTTGTTCACAAATGTTTGTAGACTAAGTTGAGCTGAGCGTAGATTAAATGTCACATGTAGATCAATACACTACATACCTTTACTTTGATGTTTGTCACAGGGATGCTAACTGCAAGGCAGGAATTGCATTTTAACCAAAAATATTTGTAGACAATATTGAGCCAAGCATTGATTCAGGGTTTCCATTTCAGGTTGGAACAAATTTTTATGTTGCTTTCTTTTGGATTGTTTTTTGTTTAAACAAATATAATACAGTTTTAGGATGGTTTTTAATGATTTATTATTAATGGTGTATAAAATAATAAGAAGGAAAGAAAGTGTTACATAAGTGAAGTAGGTATGGTGAAAGGGTTACTTCCATTCCATGTTGACACTGTAGAGATCTTGACTGAAATATAATTCAGAGTTACTTCCCTTTGTACAGTGACAGACTTCAAAGCTTTTTTCACCTCTACAATAAATGAAACAAATTGACTGGAAGAAAAGAAATCCCTTTATTTTACATGTGTGAAAAGGTTCTCCAAGGCTCACTGAGCTAGTTAGTTTTAAGATGAAACGTTTCAGAGATTTGTTGGTGTTGATGGTTACAGACATTACGTGTGGTACATGGAAGGGTGTTGGTCATGTCCTTTATTTAGCTCTCTGGAGACAACCATGATAATGGGGACTGTTATGAAAAGCAGATGTTTGGGCAGTGTTTTTAAGACAGATTACTTACCATGATGCTTTTTAACAAGCATCGCTTACACATTCTTGCTTTCTTAAGTTCAATTTACACAAAATTTGATAGTTTGATTTTTTTCATCTTGTTTATCTCAATTGGTTGATAAGCTTAGTTCCACTGGAATCTCATCTTAACCAGAAATGAAAGATATTTGTGGGGATTGTGGGCTCACAACTGAAGTCTGCTTATTATTTGCATAACATGCTGAAAACATGTTAAATCATCACTCTTTTGATCCCAGTGTATGTAGGGAGAAAGTCAAGCATTTTGGTGTTCACGAGCAGCACGATCAAGATCTTCATCCTTTGTTTCATCAATACTGCTCTCACACAGCAACGACTGTGCAAGGAGGTATTAGAATGAGTTTTTTAGAGCTGTGTGGCCATGTATGGCTTTAATGAAGCCATCACAATGTCTTGTTGAAGTGTGATCTGGCTAAAGTCAATACAATTGCTAACTTTCTGCTGAGTCAACATATTTTTCACAACACATTATTACCAACACCAGTGTGTTTCAATAATGACCATACTACACGCATGTGTTTGTTGAACCCAGGAACCATCAAACCTCTTAATCTGGGTGATAATTTCCATCTAGATTTACATATTTCATAAAAAACAAATACGGACACAATTTCAACACTTGAATGCATGTATATTTTCCATACAGTAATATCGAAAAGTTGAATTTATATAGATAAATTGGGTCTGGAATCTGGGTGACTTTAGAAGGAATATATAACATTGACTGGTGCAATAGTCTGATGTCAATCTGCTATCCAACAACATATCATTTATTTTTATGACATGATGATTTCTTACAATTGCTGGAAAATTGTAAAGGAGATAAAATACCCTTGATGTTTTTGCAACCCAAACAATGAACATTTTGCTGAACAACGGATGCCTAACAAAGTTTATCTCTGATAATGATTGGAAATGTAGATACGTAAATCACGTCTATTGATATCAATGATAGATTGACAAAGAGGTTCCCTATGATAATGTGACATTATAGCATCAGATCATGGACATTAGAGATAGATTGATAGTTTATTCTGTCATAGTTTGGAAAAGGTGTCGTAGTCAGTGCTCTTGTTTCAGGTGGAATGTGTTTGACCTGAAGTTATGCTAAGAACGTTAAGACAAACACTTGTCGCTTCGGATGTGTATTTCTCTCATGCTGAGAAGGGTCCGGTGGGGTAGCCTAGTGGTTAAAACGTTCGCTCATCACACTGAAAACCTGGGCCTAGATTTTCAAGCTCTCTTAGCGCTAAGATAGTCGTAAGGTAATGCTAATGTATGGCACTTAGACTATCTTAGCGCTAAGAGAGCTTCTAAAATCTAGGCCCAGGGTTTGATTCCCCAAATGGGTACAATGTGTGAAGCCCATTTCTGGTGTCCCCTGCCGTGATATTGATGGAATATTGCTGAAAGCGGCTTAAAACTAAACTCACTCACTCATGGTGAGAAGCAAGGCAACATTACACATGTTCATGTAATTGTTTGTTCTGATTTCATTTATCTTAGAATCATGTATTATCTTTTCTAAAAATATTTCTACAGTTGTGTTAACCACGTATAAAGCTGTGTAGAACTAACCGCTTTGATAACTATGTCAAATTTTGTTAAGGCTTTCTTGTCAGCCTTCTCAGGTCTTGGTAAACAGCATCAAACTCTGGTCATTTTTCAGTGTTCTTAAACTGATAGAAAGACATCTTTCAACCTTTTCATATGCAAATTTGTTTGCATTCTGTAATTTTGCTTGAATTTTTTTCTCATTTTCTGTCTCTGTATATTTGACTGGTCAGAGCTGACCCAACTTCTCAAATCTTAAAACATTTCTGTGAAAAGAACCTACAGATCCAATCACAAGCTAGTCACTTATTAATAAGTAACTCAGCAGTTCAAATAATCTCATGGATAAGGCAGTTATTCTTTGAATGTCATTTGAATGAATGTTGGAGGGAGAAAAACTTGAGGCAGAAGCTCAATAGTAGTCCAGTCTTTGAATGGGTTCTGAGATATGTTTTGCTTTGTGTTGGGTTGTAGAGGATGATTGTCATCCTGTGATCATGTACAGAGAGGGCTCTAGGATGTAGCATGGTGGTAACATTAGTACATATATCCTGTTATAACATGAGTGGCTATTCTTGTTGCCACGGATACTTGAATGTGACTTGTTTGTCCGGCAAGTACAGATGTATTTATTACATTTCTAACTCTTTCTATTTATTGTCAATCAAACATCATCAAATTTGAAGCATTTATGGTTGCAATTTTCGCCTATAATTAATTTAGTCTTTTAGACATAGCCTCAGCTTTCACATGGCTACATTTAGGTCCTGTTTTTGTTTGTTTTTGAAGGCATGAGGGCCTGTTATTTTGACTGGTGGCAAGTTATAACAAATAACGCCTTCTTATATATACATTAAATGAGGTATTTGTGGGGAAATGACAGATTTAATATCAGACCTGTCTTTCGATATGTTACATATTTAAGACAGAATAACCAGTCCATATTAAGTAACCATTCTTTCTTAATATGTTGTGTTATTTTGACAATATGTGTGAATTAGAAAGTAAATAAAAAGAGACTGGAGGTTGTAACTGAATTTGAATATAATTAAAAATTTCAGTGTTTTTCATATTTGTGCAAATCTGATCGACTGACAGAAGTTTAGAAAATATGTTGTTTTGTTAAAGCTTGGCATGAGGGGCTCATCATCATGTAAAATAAGAAAAAGAATACCGGCATGTAATCTGCTTATATATCTACCAACAGTGTTATACCAACCAGTGAGTGTTTTGTTAATTGTGGTGTATGTCCAAGTTAGTGACTAAGGCTGGTTCCAGATACACTATCAAACACAATTGTGTCAAACTGTGATGTTTCGGAACATATGTGTCAAAGTATAAGCTTGGACCCTGTGTATTCTTTAGTTCGTCATCATATTGAGGTTGTGTCGAAAAAATGATATCTCAAGGTATTTATGTAGCTCTCTTATACATTGATAAAACAATGTTTGTCTACTGGCAGTAGTGGCCTCCCTCACTGATATGAAGTCATCAATTCTTCTCAGAAGGGACTTCGTTCAGATGCCAGAAAAATTATATCGGTTAGTAATCGCTAAATATATCAGTCGTATTACATGAAATACAACTTGAAATGTGCTGTATGTGATGATTTGGTTGATAAGGTCATACCATTGTGACCTTGAGTCATAAAATGTATTCAACATTATTGGTACACTGCTTACATAGGGCTGCACATAGTTAGGAGACATAGAAATGTGAAGCATCTGAGAGTGTGAGTTCCATTCCTGGAAAGGACTCAATCTAAAAAAAGTACTAGAATTTGTACTTTACTGAAGAAACTGTAATCACAAATATAGCATGTTGTATCGAAATACATTGCCTAGCCTGGTACAAGCATATCTTATCAAGCATTGATTAACAAAACATCTGAGAAAACCTCATGAAAAGTGTAAAGTTTTTCTGACAGACAGATAGGATAATCTTTCAACTGGTAAGCATGACATATTAATATATATCATTCTGGGTTCTAGTTATGTTGTGTGCAGCATTTGAAGTCGTTACCTTGCAGCCAAGTGTTTTTTGTAGGGACTAAACATCACCCCAGTAATCCTCATTTCTGTAAAGTTTTGCAAATAGTCATATTCATTTTTGTCTAAAACGGAAGGTGTTCGATTGTTAAAAAGACCATAAAATTTCATTGCTGAATCAGAACTTTGGATAGTTGTGTATGAACCATCAGTATAAATAGTTCTCTCTCAGTACTTGGTGTTTTGTTCATGTAGTTTGTCCTGGACACAGCCATTTTGTAACATATTCCATTTCCATATAGATTGTACTTGTACTTGTGTTTGTTACCATGGCGACATTGTCAGTGTTCTGCCTGCCTTCATTGCTGTGTTTATCACCCTGCATTGAGTTGCTCATGATGTTAATGATGATGATAATGATGCTCATGTTAATAAAGTATACACATTGTTACACACATATATATGCTCGTACTTTAAAGTGGTGAAGTCCTCTTGTCAGACCCTGTCCAGCAGTATCTCTCTCCTATAGTACTAGGGTGTACATCTTATACATGGTTATGGGGTTGTGATGTGGCCTGGCGGGTCATGTGTTCACTTGTCTTGTTCAAGATGTGGGTTTAAGTCCACAGATGGAAGGATGTCCCCTACAGTATACATCCCCTATGGGTGATGGCAGTATTGTTTGGTTCAGATTCCAGAGTCGTCCTGATGGTGATCCTTTCGTTCATTTAAGAAAGTGGTTAACATCTTCAACCTCAGTGACAGGGCTTTCTTCACTTCCCCATTTTTGATCCACATGATCCTTTGTTTTTCAGATGAACAATTGACCTGCCTGTTCATGTCTTTGTGATGTATCACAACGATAAGGCAGGATAGGCTCTCATTTCATGAACAGCTGGTATCACTATTTGATAGTAGCTATAAACACATGATCATGATATAATATGTATATATCTATTTCATGGGCATATCTTGCAGAGATTAATTGAAACGTTTCTGAATGCTTTCTTCTAACAATAGCTGAAATATACTAATTAGAGGTATAGGGTTTCTGAAACTCTGTTTCAAGCGATCGATGCAGTCATTATAGATTTAATTTTACATTGCTTCATTGACCAAGCTTCAGACCATGTATTCATAAGCTCACCTGTTGGCTGGCATGCTTGGTACAATTGGTGTTCTGCAATTGTGGGAAATATATATTCTAGCCCAGTAAGATTATGGACAGTGATTTGTTGAGGTCAACTTTCAAAGGCATTACATTTTCTGTACAACCTTAAAAGTAAAAAGGTCAAGTGAAGAAATGATATTAATGGAATGACATGTCCTCTATTTATAGACATAATTTTTATGGACATCATTTCCACAATAAGAATGACAGAAATGCTGTCATATTTTAGGTTTATGATAATTATAAACGCCCAAAACAGAACTTCTTTTTACACAACCAATATGAAATTTCACTTTATTTTTTTCGCCCTGATCAAAGTTTTCACTCTTAACATCCGAAACCGAATATCAAAAGGAAAAAGTCTGGCCATGCAAGTTGTTACCTCACCACATCGCTTCCAATAGGGATCGCCAAAGGGACACGGATGTCCATATATCTTCGCCTGTGGTTACTGTTATTATGTGTGTTCATCGCGACCACAGCTTGCACCCTGTTCGTGGTGTACTGTGTGGCTTGTACAGTTGTGTATTGAGGGTGGAAATCACGTTGACCTTGTGACATTGTACAAATTGATGAGAGTACAAGGTGTTGTAAAGTTCCGTTGTTGCATATTAAATATATTTAAAGATTACTGGTTTGTTTTCTTATCTTTGATACAGAATGACTGAGTTAGATGTTGCAGATATTGGATTCATCACATTATGGGGTGTAACTGACAAATGAGACACAAATGCGATTGATGCTGTTGGCAGAACTGACGTAGTTTGCACGGAAGAATAGGGCCAAGGTACTTTTGCAGTTGCAAGATCCCAGTTGCGGCGCCTCAGATACCTGGGCCATCTGTGCTGATGTTTGTATTGGGTGGTACACGGCGACTTCGGTCGGATTACGCTATTGCCAGTTGGCATGGTGACTACTCTTGAACACTAGATATAACTTCTTTTGAGTAATAAAGTTCTTCCACCCAGCAGTCATGATCACTTTTTGTGATTGAGTTTAGTTTTACGCCGCACTCAGCAATGTTCCAGCCATATGGCGACGGTCTGTAAATAATCGAGTCTGGACCAGACAATCCAGTGATTGCGCATCGATCTGCGCAATTGGGAACCGATGACATGTGTCAAACAAGCCAGCGAGCCTGACCACCCGATCCCGTTAGTCGCCTCTTAGAACGAGCATGGGTTACTGAAGGTTCATTCTAACCCGGACCTTCACGGGTAATTTCAACCAACGATCATCAAATTCGAAGAAGAATAACCCCTCCTCACCTCAACGACTGAATAAAATAGTAAATCGATCTCATTAACAGCAGTGTTTATTATTGTGTGTTTCATATATCGTAAATGAATGCGTTCAAAAAAGTTTTGATATGAAATATATCAATATTTACAAAATTGTGTCAGCAAGAATTTTTACTTAGATGTAAAATTGACACATAGCATTGTTAACAAAATATCGTCGGCAAGACTTTCAATACAGATATGAGACTGATACATAGCAGTCGGCAAGATGTTTCATGTACTGCGGTAATGAGATTTGTCTGTAGGCATGCTGGGGCGGTGGGGTAGCCTTGTGGTTAAAGCGTTTGCTGGTCTCGCCAAAGACTCGGATTCTATTCCACACACGTGAAGCCCATTTCTACTGTTCCCCGCCGTGATATTGCTGAAATAGTGATCAAATCGGCGTAAAACCAAACTCAATCACTCACTGTAGGCATGTTAGTCTTTGGACCTCTTGCACAAGGTAGACAGTGTTCTCTGTATTCACGGGGCAGTGGGGTAGCCTAGAGGTTAAAGCGCTCGCTCGTCACGCTGAAAACCCGGGTTCGATTCCCAACATGGGTACAATGTGTGAAGCCCATTTCTGGTGTCCCCCGCCGTGAAATTGCTGGAATATTGCTAAAAGCGGCGTAAAAACCATACTCACTCACACACTCTCTGTATTTACACCAATATCCAGTTCCCACTTGAGCTGAAGTGAGAGCGAGCGTGTGTCCACAGTGAAGGTTGTAGTGGAAGCATTTCAAACCTGCTGTGTTGACTTACGGATTCCAACGCTCATAATGTATTCCACATTTACTGATATTCTATCCGGCTATTAGTAAATAAGATTTCTCAGTCAAATAATATTTCCCTCAAATATTTGCGATTGATTGTGAAATGTGGGTGAAATGGATTAGCTGATATTATAGTCATTCACCCACAACGTGAGTGAGTGAGTGAGCCCCGTGTGTTGTTAATGTCCAGGATATAAGAAATATCGCATGTTCGATATGCATGATTTCATATTTCACTTTAGTGATGTTAATATCGTAACACGCTTGTACTGGCAATTTATGCTTATTCACTATACAAGTGAGTGAGTGAGTGAGTTTAGTTTTTCGCCGCACTCAGCAATATTCCAGCTATATGGCGGCGGGCTGTAAATAATCGAGTCTGGACCAGACAATCCAGTGATCAACAGCATGAGCATCGATCTGCGCAATTGGGAACCGATGACATGTGTCAACTAAGTCAGCGAGCCTGACCATCCGATCCCGTTAGTCGCCTCTTACGACAAGCATAGTCGCCTTTTGTGGCAAGCATGGGTTGCTGAAGACCTAGTATACCCCGGATCTTCACGGGTATATTCACTATACAAACTCATGTAAATATCAATATTTTGAAATTGAACATTGTAACAATAGCTATTAAAATCATAGCGATAACCATTAGAAGAATATTAGGTTGTAGTGAGGTTGTAGTGAGTGAGCGAGTGAGTTTAGTTTTACGCCGCGTTTAGCAATATTCCAGCAATATCACGGCGGGGGACACCAGGAATGGGCTTCACACATTGTATCCATATCGGGAATCGAATCCGGGTCTTCGGCGTGACGAGCGAACGCTTTAAGCACTAGACTACCCCAACGTCCCTGTACTTCAAGCGAACCCGTGAATGTCCGGGTTAGAATGAATCTTCAGTAACCCATGCTTGTCGCTTTAAGAGGCGACTAACGCTGGCGTTGTACTTGACGACCCATGAATGTCATTAGGAATCTTCAGTAACCCATGCTTGTCAGACTAACGCTGGCTTGGTTGACACATGTCATCGGTTCCCAATTGTGCAGTGCTGTTGATCACTGGATTGTCTGGTCCAGACTCGATTATTTACAGACCGTCGCCATACAGCTGGAATATTGCTGAGTGCGGCGTAAAACTCAACATACTCACTCACTCCTGGTCTCTACCCTTCCCACCTCTTGTTTACTAAATATAACAAAAGAACTCCATTCAGTAAGTTGTAAATATTTAATTTGTCCCCATTGTCTGTCGTAAATTTAACTGCGGGTTTTAAGTCGGTATGCAGTATGAGTATCTCAAGTTGAAGCAGTCTACTGCTTATCAGATCTCTGGCCCAGTTTTCCAGAGTATTTGTTTTTTACTTATTTAGCTTACGGGGTAGTCATCAATATTCCAGCTATATCGGGAGGTGGGCGTAGCCTAGTGGTTAAGGCGTTGGCTCGTTACGCCGAAGACCTGAGTTCGATTTCCCACATGGGTACGATGTGTGAAGCCCATTTCTGGTGTCCCCCGCCATGATATTGCTGGAATATTGCTAAAAGCGGCGTAAAACTAAACTCACTCACTCAAGTCACCTGGTCTGACCATCCGACCCATGCCATTCCCTCTGACGATAAGCATGTTTAGGTTACTGCGGCTTAGTTGTAACCACCCCGTGGTTGATATTATGGGCGTGTTCCCAAACAATTAATCAAATCACCGGGCTTGATTCGAATCAGTCGGCTTGAACCACAAGGAATACAGCACTGGAAGAGGGCATGGGTGAGGGCGAGGTGGGGTTTGGGTGGTGGGGGAAACCTATTTATTGTGACCCAGGTTTCCAGGGGGTCTGAGTATTTCATTGTCTTCAGTTACGACAAATATGCCTCTACACAAAGCCCTGTTCACCTGTTGATATCAAACACGTAATCTTTCCTTACCCCGGGACAGGCTAAGGGCCTGTTCGATTATCGCGAAACTGGTTTTGGTTTCTGGAACTGGTTTCTCCTGTTATAAACGAGTGTCTAGTTTCGGATACATGGTTTCAAAGTGAAACCAGTTTCTAGTTTATAAACGAGTGGATGGTTTCACCATCTGGTTTCAAAATGGATACCAAAAAAATGTCTCAGCTACTATATAAGTGGAACGAATTGGATGACAGCATTGCCGAAGGTAATATTTTTTTGTCATCTTATCAGAGAATTAACAAATAATTAAGAGATGAGATGCTTTTGGAGGTAAATATTTGCGTATATGTAAGTTTTAGGTTTCGACACAATCGAGTGCATGGTTTTCCAGAAACCAAAACCGGTTTAGCATAATCGAATAGGCCCTAAGTCAATTGTATTTCCTACTACGTGACAATGCCACATATACTTATAACCAGCCAGCCCAACAATCTATATTCATCATACAACATTATTCGATTTCACAACAAACTATTTAATGGACGTAATACAAGACTAAAGAATGGCACAATGCAGCGAAACAATGTCGGGCATTGGTTCTCGATTCTATTAACAAGACGTTGAGCGACCTTAATAATAAAACAACAATACGGCAGCGAGTTTTATGAGTGACAGGCATATCGCTTGCTGATTGACCTTGCGGCCAGAGAGGTACAGGTGTGAGCGGATCAGTGCGACCACAATATTGACACAGGGCGGTCGGGAGGGGGCGGGGCTGGCACTTTAGTTTGGTTGTGTCGAGGGCAAATCCATCATTGTCGAGAGGGAGCGAAAGCTGTTGACAATCGCGGACGGGCAGACAGGATAGTCAAAGTTGGGTGTAGTTGTCTCAACATTTAAAGGAGGTTTGGAGTCTTAAAGGTGTTGTATCTTTGGAGTTTCGTTCTGGAAGGACTTTGCCTGCAGTTTACAACCAACGCATACTTCATGGGACATATGTGTGAAGATTAGCACATACTGGTATTGGATTAAAAGTGTTTTGACAGTTTGTCGGTTGTCATTACGAACTTGTATCCCGACAACGCTGCAGGTGAAGCCGTTCCAGATTGTGCAATACTACTAAGCAGATTGTAAGGATCCTAGGGCATCTCATCAGATTCAAAGACAACAGTTGGCCAAGCCAAGGACTAAACCAGATCACATTATATTCCATTTTGAAAGTTGCGACGTTTCTTAACAAGATAAACTCTCAGTCATGGACACCGGAAGTAGAAGGTCGGACAGGCGCAGAGCGTGGTCTGACAGAATGAGCGACCGAAGCAGCAGATCCGACACCAGCAACAGGACCCGTTACTCCAGGCTCAAGACCCGGCTCCGGGCCATGGTGTTCTCGAAAACCTTCGGCGGTCCGATTGAGGAGAAGGTCTGTTACGAAAACACCTATAAAATGGAACCGGAAGAGGAAGGAAAATTCTCCACCCGGAAGTGCCAACAGATCATCTACGGCATCCTGGAATCCTACCTCTCCGGGAAGGAGTACAACGGTAAAACCTTCCCCCATCTCACCAAGACCCTGGCGGACCTGATCAAGGAGCGGGTGAAGTCCTCTGGATTGTCCCGCTACAAGATCGTTTCCTATGTCACGGTAGTGGAGAAGCGAGAACAGGGTCTCAACCACGCCAGCAGGTGTTTGTGGGACGACAGCAGTGACAACTTTGCCTCAGCTATTTTCGAGACCCCCACCTTCTTCGTTGTGGGGAACGTGTACGCTACATATTACGAGTGACCATCCTAATGTGTTCAGTTTAACGACCTTCAAGAAGTCGCCTTCTTTTAATCGAGGTTGGTACTGGTAAACGCCAGTTATATTGATGCCTGTGATATTGTATGTGCCATATTACGTAAAAACTCCAAATATTGCACACTGGTCCTTAAACCATTTCGCCAGAAGAATCTGTGTTGACCAGCAAATGTAGGTATATGGTGTCATATAAGACCGTTCTAATACGCCAAGCGGATTTACCGCCGTGATTCTTCGTCGCTGACTTAGAAACATTTGATATTCTACTGGGAGAGTTGCAGGAAACGAACATGTCCTCAACAACAGAAATCGTGCACCTGACCTACTGCATGTTCTCAAACATAATATGTTGGGAGGCCGTAAACACTTTTGTTCCCAGAACGAAATTCTGTGTTCTGAAGCGATGGAAAATGATGGTCGTAGCACTGATATCACTTAATGGTTCTCGAAGTTTCGTTCAGTCAACTCTGAGTCCAGCGAAGCCGGATACATCGAGGGCAATTTTATGACGAACAATAACATATGTTGTATATTTTGTGTCAAATGACCCTTTTTTCAAATGTCTATCCTTTGGAGTTACAGTCAGTCAACAGATCTAAATGAGCAGGCAATTAAATGAATGCAATTCAGTTTCGAAGAATGTTATTTGATGTATTGTTCACGTCGTATGTTCCTTGGGCGGCGGAGGTGGTGTGTGTGTGTGTGTGTGTGTGTGTGTGAGAGAGAGAGAGAGTGTGAGAGAGAGTGAGTGTGAGTGAGGGAGTGAGAGAGAGAGAGAGAGAGAGAGAGAGAGAGAGAGAGAGAGAGTGTGTGTGTGTGTGTGTGTGTCTTTGCGGTTTCCGCATCGGAGGACGGACTTCGATATTGCAACACAAAGGAAGCCCATTTGTTATGTCCCCCACTGTAATATGACTGGAATATATTTTAAAGCGGCGTAAAACACAATTCACCCACTCGCTCGTACGTTCCTTGGAGTCTGATTCCACCCCTGTAACCGTCATAACGACTTGTGAATGACAACTAATAGAAATCCCGTCGTAATCTCTACACTAAGACCCTGCTCCACAAAAAGAGTTTAGGATTACACTGGTCGTTACTTCCATACTCGGCAGCATAAGTTAACAGTTTTGGTGCTGAGGTGGCTTTGTGGAGCCTGGCCCAGCGGCGTTCCTCAAAACGATCGTAATTCTATACCGGACAAAATAAGTTAGGGATATTGGTATTTTTATGATTGATATTTTATCAATGTGTCAATGAATAAATACACCATTATTCATAATTTCAAAATTTACATATATCCCTAACTATTTTTGTCCAGTATATAACATCAACATTAGTCAGTCGTAGCGTTAAGATTGCTTAGTGAAACGGCCAATGGTTCCCGTTAACACAGCGACGTTAGCTCTTCGGTATTGTAACTGACATACTTCACGATCGTTTTGAAGCTACCATCGCTTCGTGCAACGGAGCCCAGATCGATAGCGAGTGGTTTCGTAAGTCGAAAGTATAGTTTTACGCCGCTTCCATCAACATTCCAGCTTAAGACACTTTACTCAACCATATCCTTATGATTTTATCTTGCAATATATTATTTGTGACGATAAATACATTAGATACTTAGTTATTATTCTGCCATGTTTAATTCCATAAATCTCAGGTATCACATGAAATGAAGTCTTTGGTATGTGTCATAGATTAGTTTTTGTCTATAAATCTGTCAGTGTTACGACACGTTAGTCATATTCTTGTGAAAGCCTTGGGCAATATTCATTTTAGTTTCATGTACCTAGATGATCTTAAAACCGTATACAGTAACAATTGTATCATTGTTTTTTAGAAATCCGTCCTTACATTACTGTGTCAGTACGGGAACAGTTAGACTAACGCTTAGTCTCTGAATATATATAATTTTGATAGTAACAAACAAGCCCATTTAAATTGAAAAGCAGCGCCAGGGAGACCAGAGATTCAGAACCTGAGGAAATCTTTATTTAGGGTTTTAGCACTGCAGATAGGGCTTGGCAGTAGGGGAAATAATGTGGTTCAGGGACTGTGAGACAGACTAGGAAACAGGTCGAAGGTTCGATGTCGAAAAAACCCCATGAATTCCTTAAACAAACAAAAAGCCACTCAAGTTTAATCATTTATACAACTGGATCTGAAAGAGGTTTTCAGGAAGATTACCATCGTATGTATGAAATGAAACAACAAGTTGTGGATCTGTACCAACACGCCATAGAAGTGGAGTATAAAACTGATAATCGACTTCGATGTTGGACTGCTCTTGAAACCAATACGATATTATAAACACGGCTTACATGTACATAAAGACGAATGTAGGGCACTCAGATCAACTTTTGGCTTAAACGGACTAAAATTCACGAGTGGGCGGATTTAAGGGCTCTACAGACATACTTGTGTTACGTTCTAAATCACTCCTGTAATGAATGTGTTTATATCTTAAAAGGATATTCCGCATACCCTTGAGTAGAGTAAAGTTACTTTTATCTTATCAGATAAATTGCATTTCTTATGCTATTTTGGTTTTGTTGACCTCAGTTCATAGAGACGCGGTTTTGTTGATGACGCTGTCGTTTTGTTGTCCTTGTAAACATATCCCGACATTTATGGATTCGGAAAGGTATTAGCCTGTGTGATGTCCAGAGCGAGAGTATTATATCGCTATACTTAAAGGAATACTTGGATGTATAGATTTACAAATACATGTTGGCAGTGACACTGAGGAACGTACATACAACAAATCATTTGGTAATGTGTATTCTTGTCAAGACGAAACATCTGAGCAAGGTGGTTGAAAGTATGGTGTACACCATCATGATCCTGTGTCCTCTTCCATTCATAATCCTGGGCACATATTTAGTACAACAAGGATTCGGTGGACAATGCCTCATGCTTACCGTATATATTTGAATATTTGTTTTGTATAACATGAACTATACATTCTCAAGATGTCTCACGTTCATCATTTAAATTTGGGTTATTTCTTTGGGATGGAACGTTGAAATATAACTGTAAATTATATTCACTGTCTTTTCACTAAATCTTATCCCCTTTATATGTCGTCTGGTGTTTTTGTGTTTACCGGAAACAGTATCGCAGTAACATTCGTAATTACTCGCCTCTTTCCGTGACCTACAAGAAGACTCGTACCTGTATAGTACGCTATTATTGGCAAGAATCGTAGGTAATCCAATCAAATCGGGCGTAGTAAATTGTGAAATGAGGTCAAAAAGTTTCTTTTCAATTATTTTCATTATCATTTCCGTGATTATACAATTATCGTTTTGCTGATATTTGTTAACGTTAAAGAAACTTACTTAAAATGACTTTCGTGTTGTATAATAAATTTCTAGTAGCCATGTTTGAAAATTCAGAGTTATCTTTCCTTGAAAATAGTCCCTGACTATACAAATGTATTCATCTCTGTGCTCGTTTGCGCTTAGACAAGGTCCAGTCGTGAACATGGCCAGGAGAGGGTTACGAGTAGCCATCCGGCTTGCCGGAATGACACGAGTAGTTACGAATGTCGCAGTAAATAGATTTTTACGAAATTGTGGACTGTTTCTGCCATTTTAGGCAGCCAGGTTCCAGGGGTCTGCCGTGCTGACGCAGTGTCGAAGCGTTAGCGTAGCAGACCCCGGGAACCAGGCTGCCATCTTAGGTTGCTACACACGTAACCGTTCATATAGTCTTGGCAGCGTCAGTCCATGTCCGATACACCCTAAATGGACTCGGGTCCAGTGGTCCAAGGCGTTACATGTCGGTGTGCAGAGCTGCGTGCTTTACATGTGCAAGAATCCGAGATTCGCCTGATTACGTTTCTGGATTTGCCCGTGCGTGGTTTTCACAAAATTGGCAATTGTCTGAGGCTTCCATCATTTCTGGCTTTGTTCCATATTGCGCTGAGGGGCAACGGTTTAACTGGAATAGTACCCGGGTTAGAACTGGTCTTCAGCAACCCATGCTTGTCGTAAGAGGTAACTAATGGCATTGAATGGTCAGGCTCGCTGACGTGGTTGACATATGCCATTATATCCCAGTTGCGTAGGTCGATGCTCATGCTGTTGATCACTGGATTGTCCGGTCCAGACTCGATTATTTACAGACTGACGCCATATAGCTGGAAATATTGCTGATTGTGGCGTTAAACAACAAACAAACAAACAAAAATACATGTAACTAAAACAGCGTTCAAAACGGGATTAAACCAAACACACTCACGCACTCATGACATCATAACCACTCCTTGCTAAGACTTAATTCAAATCTTGTTCACACTGACTGTTTATATAATACAATACCCATTGCCTAAAAGTGAGAAACGATACAACTTGTGAACGTTTTAAGCTTGTATTCATATACCGCTTTATATTAATATACTATGCTTTCGTTTAATATTATATAAGCACTTATACTTACGCGTACTTATCCCCTGGTATGTTTAAGACTCTACGCCGCTGGAATATACTGGTGCGGCGTTTAACAGCAAACAAGCTTAAGTTTCTACTTTCAGTTAACAGGATACCAATAACACTCGCTCTGCATTCATTGTTTATAACAGACAGACAAGCCCAGACAACCCTCCGCTGATATTAGTAAGGGTAAATATTGACTTTCCCTGTTGATTCAGCCCAATTCAAATACACACGGTTCGTGAAAGTTTGCAACCTGGGGACAGGATTAAGTAGCTATACCTGTCGGGGTATAATGTTATCGCTCCTCCATATCAACGCTGACCTCGGGTCACGAGCAGTAATTGTATTAGAACGTTGACGTAGGTTTTAATTGAACCCGGATAACGAGCGCGTGTTGAATCCGTGCACCGACGTTACAAGGGTCAGCGGCCATCGTGGCAGGCTGAATTAAGGAATCAATCTCTAATTCTTTATAATGTATTACAGAATTACGACCAGTGCAAAATTTGATAACTTGGCCAAAATAATGCCGAAAGAAGATTGTTATTG